TTAACCGCTGAATATTATGATCAAGAAACAGATTAAAATAATATGTTAGTAGAAGATTAAAATGTGGAAAATAGGGTATCCAGATCTCTGATCTGGATGCCCTATTTTCTAACTACTATTATGATCAATTACTTCAGTGTCCAACATTATCTGGACAAGTTCGTTTGATTTGAAAAGAGTTTACAACAACAAAAAAAAATACTGCATTTGACAGATATCAACAAAAGAACAGAGTGAAGAAGAAAACGCATTGGAAGTTTCTTTAGAATGCACTAAAGCATTTAAATGGTTGGTAATAAAAATAAAACGAAACAGCTTCCCATATTGGCACGATTGGAATTAAATGTAGTGATATAGAAACAATCGCCAGACTGCACTCATTGGCATTCGAACGCTAATCTTGCATGAAGGAGATAAAACAGAAAAACCAATCAAAGACCATTATGAGAGAAAACAAACACGGGATTAAATCTATCATGGAATACAGGACACAAAGCTAACACAAACCGACTGACTGAATTTTGAAATAAAAATTTTGAGAAAAGTCATCGCTTCCAATAGTTCTTTTTATGGGGCCGTGGTGAATTAGAAGACTGGAAACCACATTATGATCTCTAATCAGTACGACCCAAGAAAACTTGCAACAACAGAGGAGCTACAAGCTTATTGTTTAAAAGGAGTTCCATAAAATATCTTTGACAATATAAAAATGGACTGCAAAATGTGTTGGTAAGCGCATTGAGTTATGCGTCTGGACCAATTTTGGAAATTCCTATTTCGATGTGATTGTATTTGTCAGAAGAAGGTTCTTATGGAAGAAAATTCTAGAAAAGTAGAGGACAAATGGGGTAAAAGCGGCCGTATTGTCGTAAGCGAGGTCCTTGCACACCAGTGATAAGCAGGGGCTAGCGGCTAGTTTATAACTAATTGTGGATTTCAATAGATGAGCAAGAAACTTTATTATTAGGTACCCCTCTTAATGGCTAGTATGAGAAATCCTTTTCAATTCGTAATACTTTTCATTTATTTTTGTGGTTGTCGCGTCTATTTATTCCGTGCCGTCTGCAATGATGTTATTTATAGATCGACATGTTTATGTTACAATGTCTTCACTCTCGGTTTCCTTATTGACAATGACAAATTGTGTTAGAATTGCTACCTAAAGTACAATAACGCAAAAATATTCAAATGTTAGTGATCAATAGAATACTAACCAAGTGGAAAGAATGAGGGAAGATTAAGGAAAATATCCAACAAATTGATTGAAGATCTTCAAGTTATTTGAAATAAAAGTATAAGAAAGAACTTTCTAAACGTGTCAAAATTAAGGATACCTAAAATAAAATTGAATATTTAAGGTAATCTTGAGACATACTTTATTGGCTGTTAAAAAACTATCAATAAGAAACAACGTCTACGAATGAATGACGATTTTAAAATAATATAAATATGTGTTAAATAAGCTGTAATTACCTAAATTGGTTTATAGTAGGAACGAACGATGAATTATTGTAAAATCAACGTCTATCAAATTCTATTCTATCACCGTTTGAGAAATTCCTTCGATTTGTTTCGATTGATTCCAGTAAAGATACAAGAATAAGATTTAGTTGGAATAGATAGGGCAAAACTCTATAAAGATCATATTATAGCCTACGTAAAGCAGGCAGGCAAGTTATTAGCCCCGCTCATGGACGCTCGCAACATCAGAGGAGTTAGAAGTTATAGAAGCCTTATAGAAATCAGGGTTTTGAGGATTATGGAGGAATCTACAGAGAATTGGGCCTCCGGTAATTACAAACAGCGAAACACACGAAGAGATGTTCACACTAGTTCTTTGTGATGATGTAGTATCATTTCGGCCAAGTCAGCCCATTTGTGTCGAAGTATGGGTCTACCATGGAGTGCCGAAATTGCAGTGAAAAATCGAGAGCTGATTTTGCAAGTAAAATATTTTGTTGTGACTTTCACGTTATCTAAGGTCATGTGTGATTGGTAAGTAGTGGTTGTTTATTGCTAGTTTTTGAATCCAATTTAATTGAGTCGCCGTCGATTTATAGGCTCACAATTACAGGCGTCATTCGACGTAACCATTTTAATGGGCTGTTGAGTAATTGTTAGAAAATGGCGGGTTTCAATTTAAGTTTTTTTTGGCGAAGTTAATCGTTATATATTTCTTTCTTTTAAACTTCTTACTGGATCATTTTCCTCTTTTACTCTTCCTATCAACTATGATTTTAAAGTTATGATGACTTTGAGTCTTATCAGACTAGTTTGGGTGTTACTATTTTACATGACCGTGTCATGTCATCTGCTCTTCACAATTTGTTAAGTTTTACAAAATCCAGACCAATTAGATTTATTATCAAGGGTTTTAGACTGGACTAAAGATTTAACAGCTCATAAGATGCTTAAACGGCACGGCGTAATTAAATGGCAGTTACTAACATATATCTCCCGGCGAATTCTGGTAAAAATAGTCCGATCGCTTGCTCCCTCGTCTTGTTCCACACTCTATAGACAACAACTCGCTCGCGGGCGCATTCTACAGCTAACAGTTAGGTGTTATCGTAAACACTGGCACGTCTCTCTCTGGACCTACGCCAGGCAGATTATAACCTGCATAGTCGACGATAACAGATCTCGTTTCAATTCGTTTTATTGTTCGCCCCTGCAGCTTCTGCGGTTAACGCGATTTTTGTAGAGTTTTGATCCAGTATAATAGTTTTTTAGTTAGTTATTTTTAGATGTGAATTTTTTTTTTCTTTTATGCTATAACTCGGATGAATTTGGACTTTTACTATTATTGGATGTCGTGTGAATCTAATATAAGACATTCCTCTGATTTGCTTGAGGGAAATGTTGTAAAAGTGAAAGGGTACCCAGAATAGAGAATTTCACGGGAAGGATTAAGCGTAATCATAGGTTGATAGTAATTTGTTTTATTAGTTTTTAAAAGTTAGCAAGCTGTGTAGCTAGTAAAAAGACATACAGATGGACGAATAACAGTTTCATAAAAATAGGGTTCCCATTTCTACTCTTTAGTTACGAAACCCATAGCTATCTATAATGAAATTGTGCAGGCAAACTTTTGACGTCAATTCAATAGCGAAACAGTACATACTTGATTTGTATGTACTCTTCACAAAATGCGCAACAAAATCTCACAAAAGCCTTTCAGACTATCACAAATGAAGAGATGTACGATGTACATAGGTCCAAAGTCGCCCAAGTATACAAAGCTCAGAATACCTCATTATGCCATAGGAACCTAGTACTTGTGTATTTGGCCTAGATTTGTGTGGAGAGCGCGCAGGCGCGGATTGCATAACTCGTAACGACCCAGGAAATACACGTTCAGCATCAACATCTAGGTTCGTACAGGCTTGGAAGGTCGCTGGATATCGATCCAGCTTGAGATTGCGTAATGCCGCGGACGGGACCAGCTATGTACCAACATTGAAAAGACATTTTGAATACTGCATAAAATTATGCAATAGGGCAGTTCAGAAATTGTTTGCAGAAGAGTATTAGAGGGCTTGTAGAATGTTCTTGGATTGTTGAGAGTAGGAAGTGTCCCTTGATGCCAACTGCCAAATTTTGAGAAACGCTATAATAGTCATACCTAATTTCAATATTTTATAACTGTAGGCAGGGCAGGGCAGTGGCAGGGACTACCACAATATCGACATCCGGCCTTTATTCCTATTTTGAGTCTATGATTGGCTCAGTGGTTGAATTACCAGCTGCTGTGCTAAGTGTCGTCGATTCGGTTCCTGCACAGAACTTTGTGTTATTCATAAACGTATTATATCGTAACGTCATTGCCTCTGAATACAGTCCTATTATTAATATTATTTAGCTGTGCGTAAATGTCGTTATAAAAATACGAACCTATTCGTCAATAGAGGCTTCCACAATTTTCCTTTTTTCGAATACTTCAATTTCATAATTCGAATTCCAAACTTACATTATTGTTTCAAAATGCTCCTATTTCGACAACCAATAAATTTTATTCCAAGTTTATTGGCCAGCAATAAATTACAGTCATTCAACTTAAGAACGGTTTACATGAACGGAATGAACGACGTAAATTATAATGAGTATTGTTTGTGTTTTATTTGACGAGTTGATAGAATAAGGATTAAACAGGAGCTTTTTTCTAATTTGATTTGAAACTCAATGTATTGCACGTTGAAAAGAATTTAAAATCTAGTACAACATAGTGATTTTACAAAATATTAATTCGGAATCCTTCAAAGATCTTTTGCATGTGACCTGCGCCGAAAAAGTCTAAGTGAAGTCCGAAAACTCGGAAGTAAAAGAATTGCTTTAGAAGGTCACAATTCCGACAAAAACGGCCCTGCCACTCATATATTTAATTGAGTCGTTGTTTTAAACATCTACGGAGAGGATAAAATACCTCCAAACTTTCCTACAACTTTTGTTTTTTTGGATATAACAGCATAAGCAAAAAAATAGTACCTAACTGCATGACATTTACGGTGGGGAAACTTAGTATCACAAAAACTGATATTTTTGGAAGCCTACCTTGAAGGGGAAAGTTGTGCCTAACTCTAAATGCCACTTCAGGAAGGCTGTGCAATTCTTTAATAGATTTGCCATGGATACCTTGAATGATTGTTTTTAGTCGGCTCAAGTCTACACCAAGAATTATAATGAAATGGAGTAAGTGTTCAAAACTATTAGACGACATAAGAGGTGCAAATATGGACATGATCTATGCCAAAAACCAAGGACCTAAATAAGACTTTTTGACTGCACGGTTGGCGTGGTGGCTGGGCAACTGGTTGCCGCGCAATGTGTCGCGGGTACGATTCCTGCACGGAATAACTCTTTGTGTGATCTACAGATTGTTGTTACGGGTCTGGGTATGATGTGCATGTGAATTTGTATGTTTGTAAACACACCTACGACACAGGAGAAAATCCTAGGGTGGGGCAACGTTTTTCCCAAAAAAAAGAGAGAGTCAGCCGGGGTTACGGGTACAAGCACAATAATGTACCGTGACCCTGGCCTGGGTCAGGAGATGGAACTGAAAAAATAAACAAAAGAAAGTGAACTAACTTTATCCCAAAAACCAAAAACAGTTTTCCCGAAATAATCAACCCCTCCTAATTTACGTTATAAATACATACCTATAAATTTTATAACTGAACACCAAAAATCCTCAAATTACGGTCTTGTTACATACTGTCGCATAATATCTGACCCCTGGCTGAAACGCAAAGTTTAAAGGTCGCCTCTACGGGGGTGGGACCTTACGTAACCTGACCTATATGCGGACCAACTGGGACTTTAGCTGGAAGCAGTTGTGTGAGGTCGCTTTACCGGCATTGATATTACTAAGCTAAGTAGAATAAGTCTTATTTAGTAAGTTCTTATTACTCTGTGGACGTACGTTTAGTTTGAAGTGAGAATTTTAAACCTTGGGATAGTGTTGTCGATATAATATTAATTCGAAGCTGTTTGTTTTCTACGCATATTCATAAAGATTTTTTAGCACCGCGACTTCGGCCCAGAGCAGGAGAAGGAACAGGGGGGTTTTTAGTCAGTAAAAGTCTGACACTCCCTCCTGTCCGACCTTGGGCTCTGGGAGAACTCATTTGATGATTTTCCCCTCACGAAAAAAAAACATGGTAAATTTATAAAGGTAGATGCCGTGGCATTTAGAATTGAGTCATAAATGTAATAATGACACAAAATAAAATTAAAGATAGGTACATTTCAGAAGGGCCGAGCAACAAAAACAAAAAAGACCGCCATTATAATGTCGCTTTGAAAACACGGTTACACATGAGTGAAATATAAGTAATTAGAAGTATAAGTCAACAATAGAATATCGTTATTAGTTCAACGTTATTGCATTATAAGAAATATGTAAGGACAAAATCAATAAAGGAACATGTAGGAATAAAAACGGGAGTAAACGACCAGTCAAATGGGGATTCGGCAGTTAGGCTAGACATAATTAATTCAGGACCACATGTGGTCTCGTCACATGGTCTAATTTGTAACCCACTTGTGTTGCGAGACAGATTAATGTTGATGGCATTATTATAATAGTGATTATTATGTGTAAACAAGTAAGTATCAAATCAACCAGATAAAGATAGGTAGGTAATAAAGATAAAATAATTATAAATCTTAATGCAAATGTCTTTTGTTCTATTTTGAATTCAAATAATGCAAAACTTATAAATAAGTATATGCACTTATTAATTTAAAAATATATTTTAAAAACCAAACTATTATAAATGATATTCTTTTGTAAAGAACAAGTGCTCGCGGCCGTGGGTTTCAATTTTGTACTTATTCAAGTTTTTTTTTCTTATTTTCTCTACATTCAAACCTTCTCTGGACTTCCACAAATAATTCAAGACCAAAATTAGCCAAATCGGTAAAGGTAATATGTAGTTATAAGGTGACAACGAAAATTGGCATTGATTTTTATACATAAAGATATTATTTATCAGTAACAAACTAAAAAGATAAAACGGTGTTGGCTTTTTGGATTACTAAAAGAGTGTCATTTTTATATTAAATAAGTTAATTACCACTTAAAATTCATAAATTAGTACCGTAAAATTTGAGCAAATTAATTCGTAAAAAAATATAAATGTAGAAAACAAAAAAGCACTCACATGAAGTAGTTGTATGCAATCGCAATGTACCACAATGCGAAAATAATGATTCCAGTTGTTTCGGCCATACTGCCTGCTTGCGTTGAAATCGATCGCGTCCCACCGGAGGATCCGCCACCAGACTCGCCACTCAAGAAACCAGAACTACCACCAGCAACACTGCTTATGCCACTGTATACGGTATCGGCAACGATGCTAAGGCCACTATATATTCCCAAAGCAACGACGGCAAGCCCTTGTAAGATACTTTCGGTAACAGTGCTTAATCCACCAGATATACCTGCAGCGATAGAGCCAACCCCGCTCGCAACATTACCGTAATCTCTACTTGATGCACCAGCAGTATTAGTCACGGTTGAAGTTGCACCAGCCACGCTACCAACTCCACCCGTGATACCACTTGCTGCTGCACCGGCAACATTGGATATACCAGTAGTGATAGAGCCAATTCCACTAGCAACAGCGCTAACTCCACCCGCGATGCTAGAAGCAACAGACGTTATTATCCCTTTAACCGTTGCAATGCCGCTGTATGCTCCACTAGCAATATTTGTAGCGCCACCAACGATACCACTAGTAGCCGCGTCTGTTCCTGTAGAGAAGCCACCAGCAATGTGGCTGAGACCTCCACCTGCTCTACTTGCGAGATTACTTACACCACGAGAGTAATCTCCAGTATAACTATCAGTCTCACCAGAGCTGGAGGTAAATATTGGAGTGACCCCACTACTGGAACGATTGGAGACGCCGCTTGAGTTGATACCACCACCACCACCACCACCACTAATACTTCCAAAAGCACCAGTGTCAGCACTTTTGCCTACTACGATATTACTGATGCCAGCACTTTTACTCCCGTTGGCACTCTTGTTACTACCAGGTTTCTCCGTAAAGGCACCTGTTTCTACACTTTTGCCATCCATGTGATCAATGACGCCGGCACTTTTGCCCCAAGTAAAGAAACTTTTGTCTCCAGCAAGAGTTCCAGGAAATTCACTGATATTAGCACTTTTAGAACCTTTGGCAATACTAGCACCACTAATAAGACCTCCGGCAAAAGCGCTGGTGTCAGTACTTTTGCTCCCTGTAGAAGTAGTTGTATCCCCCTTAAGACCACGTGTAAAAGGACTGACATCAATACTTTTGCCACTCATAACAATACTTGTACCTCCGGCAAAACCTTTTGCAAGGCCACCAGCATCGGCAGTTTTGCCCTCTGTGAGGTTACTACTTTTGCCACCAACGCTTCTTGGAAAAGAACTAAAATTAATTATTTTGTCACCCAAAGCGATATTGGTATTATCACCAAAATCTCCTGCAAAGGCGTTAGTGTTTGCACTTTTATCAGTATCTTCACCAAGATCACGTGCAAATTCACTGATATCAGCACTTTTACCACCCGAAACGATAGTAGTACCACCAGCTAGACCTTTAGCATGGGCTCCACTTTCTGTAGTTTTGCCCCCAGTCACGACACTAGCACCACCAACAAGGGCCCCTGCAAAGGCACCAGCATGTCTGCTGCCTGCTAGGGCACTGGTGGCACCACCAGCACCACGAACTGTCGCGGTGTCAGCACTCACTCCTTTTGGGGCGATGCTGGTGCCGTCATTACTGCCAGCCACAAAGGTGTTTTTGTTCCCTTTAAATTTACTTGTACCGCCGGCGCCAACATGGACTTCTTCAAATGCACTGTTATCTACAATTTTGTTTCCTGCAAAGGCTCTAGTGTCTTCACTAAGGTCTGTAGCCAGTGTATCAGAATTTATATCTTTATTTCCTGCAGTATCGCCTAGAACTCGTGAAAGGGGAGTATCACTTCTGGTAATTTCTCCCCTATAAGCATTAGGATTGCTGCCAGGACCTCCCGTTAAGGTACGGGTACTGCCTCGAGTTTCTCCGAAAATGCCGTTACCGTTAAGGCCATTAGTGAATCCACTGGTACTGCCACCTTTAGGCCTTGTGAAGACAGTAGTACTGCCAGGAAGGCTTGCTGGTTGCCTATTTCTACTGCCGTCTTGTAGTTCCTCATAGGAACTAGTTCTATCACTACTGGCTCCTATAAGGTCGTCACTGCCACCGTGGGCGCGCTCTGTGTTGCTGATGCCGGAAGCTATACCGCTGATGGTACTGGGAGTCGGGCTGACGGCACCGTAAGTTTCAAAGGCGCGACCCTTTTTACTGAATTTGTTACCACTGGTGAAATTGCTATTGCGATCTCGTTTTTTAATGTCCGGTATAGATATACAAGAGCAAGGAGGAATGTTAAGATCGGTGTATGATTTCTTAAATATTTTAAAAACTTTATATTTTTTGGGATTTTCCTCCTCCTCCTCGTTGTCGTAGTCGTAATCGTCTGGAGCGTAGATGGAACGTCTGAAATATATTTATTTAAATTAAGTACTGATCTATTGGGATTTTTAAGTACCTATTATTTTTTTATATTTATGTAATGCGTAGTAGGGTCATAATACTTTATTGCAAATTAAAAATTAGTAGGAATGTATGAAAATTATTTTTTGAATAATTAGATACTTAATCGTAATATACCTAATAAACAACAGGTAGATACATATCGGAGAGTCGAAATTCTTCGAGATTTATTTAATAGAACCTACCCAGATACATGCAAAAACTCTAAGTGAAGTATCATACCTACGAAAATAAGCGGGTGACTCTTTGTCCGGTGGGAAAATTGTAGTGAGGATGATTTCAACAGGTTTCAGTGCAAGATACAATATGCTTATCCAGTCCATAGACTTTCCGGGCCGAACGTACCGGTGTCATACCATTCAAAATAATTATTACCTTCACTGATAATTGGTCAAGACTGGGGGTGCACTGGTGAACATTTTGCCTATTATTTTCTGTGCATTATTATTATTACAATTTTGACACGCTGAGTTTGTAAAGACGGACCATTTTGCTTTTTTGATTGAAGGATGTTTTTTTCCTTAGTAAAATTAATGGCATTTGATATTTGGATTCTCTATTGTTTGTTCTTGAACGAGATCCTAATTTATTTACCTTACTGATTTTAATAAATGATCTGATTCTCAATTCGCGCAGCGAGGTATGAAAAGGGTTTTGCTCGGAGTCTCTCTGAAGGATCGAATTCGAAACGAGCTTAACAATGTTGTTGACATAGCCCAGTATTATCAAACTGATATGGCAATGGGTAGGTCACATTTGTCGAAGAACCGATGACGGTAGACATTTTCTAGAATGAAAACCACGTCTAGGCAAACGTAATGTAGGGCACCCCCCAGCTAGGTGGACGGACGATATCCGATGGATGCTGGCAGTGGTTGGATAAGAATAGCTGAAGATCAAGGTCAGTGGTGTGTAATTGGAGTTGCTTATGTCCAGTAGTGCACAGAAACTGATTGAATATGACTTTCATATTGACAAAGGTACTACATTATGGTACATTACACCGATATAAGCATAAAAGCAAACCGGAACATTTGAATTCGTCGTGAGATTGCTCATTAATGTATTTAGTAAAGAAGTCTAAAAAGAATGCAGGCCGCATAAAGTCAAGGCGTGGGTCGCGTGCAGCTTGCGGGCCATTGTTTGGCCAGCTCTGTACCTATGTTAAGGACCACAGTAAACATATCTTCAAAAATACAAGCCCCATATTTAGTAAGTGGTGTTTTTGGAGGATAATAAAGATTCTACCAACGAATATGCAATAATTACTTACGGCTCAGACGGTGTATCTTGTATGGAATACAAAATATTCTGTTGAGAATCACTTTGGCTACGGCGAGTATGTCAAATAAAAAAGTTTACATTGAAGAGTACCTATGTATTAAGAAATCTCCTAACATAAGTCTGAATGGAACATGACTTTGTGTGATCCACAAATTGTTGTTCGGAATCTGGGTGAACCCGAGCGTACGGCGCGTAGCGTTCCGCGCACGTCTCAAAGAGCCAATAGACCACCTCATACGGGGTTCCTATATAGCGCTGACGTTCAGCCAGGGTTGCGGGATAAGTTCAATGCTTTAGGCTGAGTCCGTGGTGCCAACCACGGACTCAGCCTAAAGCAGAAGAAGAAACAGGGTTTTTTTTAGTCAGTAGGAGTCTGACACTCTCGCGTTTCCCTGGGCGGGAGAAGCCATTTGATGATTTATCCCTAACAAAAGAAATAAAAATACTCACGGACACTGAAAAAGTCCTGGTGTGGGTCAACTCTAAATAAAATGGTTATCTGTCTATCTATTTATAAATATAGTGGACGAAAATAAATTACTAATGAGTAAGAGTGAAATAAAAACAAAATAAATTGAAAACCAATATTTATTATTAATATAATATAACAGAGAAAATATGAATAACAACTACTTTATACAAATATTAGGCACTGATATGTATAGTATAGTATTACCAAATATATAACGATTTATAAAATTTACTATAAACTAATATCCTCATCTGTCTGTCTGTTTGATTGTTGAGCAAACTTTGCTTTTTCAAGTGTGTTACTTTTTTAATATTAAATATTGCTAGTCATATTCGAGGCGCATTAACAGACGTAGTAATTTAGACTTTGAGAGGATTGTAATAAGAATCAAATATATTTATCACATAGAACTTGTATTGCACAATAGTTGGCCAAAGATGTCTTTGTTTTACTTAGCTGGACGATTTTATTACAGAAAGTGTAATTTATTTACATTAAAAAGTACGGAATATTTTCAAGTCTCCGTAATTTACTTCAATATGGTACTAGATTCCACTATTTATCTTATTTCCTATAATCACTACATAGTATAAAACAAAGTTTCTTTGTCCCTATATCTTTATGTATGCTCAAATCTTTGAAACTACGAATCGGATTTCGATGCGGTCTTTTTTCATAGATTGATTGATATAATATTCATTAAATAGTTGAGAAATTTAGTTTAGTATCAGAATTGCTCACGCGCGAAGCCGGGGTGAGTCGCTAGAAAATAATTGACTCGACATAATCACAGTGGTATGAAATCAGATTGAAATTGCTAAAAATGGAATCTTATGATAACAGCTATATTTAGAAACCAGGGGAATGGTAGAAATAGATTACAATGGAGTCTTCCCAAAATTATAGTTTGTACTGTAATTATAAAGAATTCTAATATCTTTATTTTATATTCGATACATTCATTGCATTTTTTGTATGTAATGGTATGGCATAGTAGTAACTTCACATAATGAACCGCCTTTTGGGGATTTATGAATTGCATTGGGCCTTAGGTAATCTCATATTAATATTAAAATTAAACAATAACATACATAGACTGCCATAATATCAATATTATAGAATAATATTCAGTAGGCTGCGCGACGTCGCCGCGTCCGCGCACGCTGCTCATGAGGAAGAACCCCTCTGTGGTTCGAAACTTGTAGAGGTTTTCTCAATTTATACACGTGAGTAACCCGCGATTTTTAGTTAATTTAGTATGTCTCACGATAGTTATTATAAAAACATTCTAGAATAAACTTAAACTACTATTCAAGTATTTAATATCATATTATTATTGTGGTCATAGAAAGCGAAATGAGTTTCTAGTTTCAAGAAGTTAGGAGATAAATGAGTTTCATTTTCGTTGCCTCATCGTAGTTATATCATACACTAGAAGAATTCTGTGTAGCCGGTCTCTATGAAGGATTTTTTTTCTTAAAAGTGTTATGATTTTTTTTGCTTAAGTGTTTTAGGCAAATCATAGGAAATTTAGTCTATACTATGTATAGACTTCATTTCCTTTTTTATTTCTTTTAGCATTAATAATATTTAACTGTGTCGGTTATCAATAAAAATAGAAAATCAAAATTTATGTAATCACTTATCTGTGGAATAGCACCAAATTGTATAATTTGATTTTTGTCGTGTTCATTATCTTTAGGATAGACAATGTGATAAAAATGAATTTGGTACATTCACCGGGACTACCGGGAAATAGCATCGAGGCGAAAATTGGGAAGACATGTATCTCGCTCTTTTTAGTCAAAATTTGCCATAAATGAAATATTTCAAAACTTTTGTCTGTTTAGTAACATGGAACACTTGACTATCTTCTTGCTATCTAGTCCATATTCGGTTGTTTAACAAGCGGTGACAGGGAATCCTTTTGCCAGCTTTTCAACGTACTGCTTCCGAGCGTCCATGTCGTCAGCGGGGCGGTTGTACGGCAGCCACACTGGCTCGCCTATGAAGAATCGCTTCGCCTTTATGAAGTTCTGGAATTGAGAGAGAACTTCGTTAGAAAATATTTAAAATACATTGAGAAACATGTTGTGTTTTGCCGTGTTCAGTGACGTTACTAGAGGCCCTTTCCCTAAATCTTCGAAACCCTAATCCGAAAGGGCGGCAAAGCAGTCGTTACATCTCCGGTATTGTGGTTTTCCACGGGCAGAGCAGATTTTTAACCATCGGGTGACGAGTCTGCTCGGTTTCCGCACATTTAATAAAAATCTATTAAACATTATGATAGGTCTTAGTACACCATCATATTACTCCCTTATTTAACACTCTGATTGTAATTATTATAGATTTAAAAATAATGCTGCGTTGCTGATTACTTATAACATTGAGAGAAGCATTCAGAAATGACGGAACAGGAACATTTCTTCAAAATGTTTGTATGTTATATTAACAATATATAAAAATGGATCGCAAAATGTGTTGGTAAGCGCATAACTCAACAACGCCTAGACCAATTTTGGTAATTCTTTTTTTGTTGTGTTTGTTATTGTCAGGAGAAGGTTCTTATGAAAGAAAATATTAGAAAAGTAGAAGGGAAGATTAGGAAATGACCCTTTGATAGCGATATAGAGAGCTGGACCCGTGCGAAGCGGGGGCGGGCCGCTAGTTAACAATAAAGTTGTACTTTTTTTAATAGTTATTTGGTAATTTTCGTAGTCTTAGCAATTATCACAGTGATTACCATTAACTTATTTTACAGTTCTTTATTATAATGTTATCGACATTCACTGCTGACTATGACTATTTTGTTATGTTGGGTTATAATATTTCACTTAGGATGAATTAGAGTAAAACAGCTTTATGAAATCCAGCTTTTTTTGTGCCGCCGTGTGAGTACGCTTACCGGAAGTCCAATCCTCTCCCTTCCCTCATCTCTTATCCCCATAATCCCCAATAGGAACACACTCACTAGCGTCCATGGGCGGCGCAGTCTGCTTACCATCAGATTGATCCATCAATCTGTTTGACCCGCCGTATCTTAAATAAAAAAAAATAACAAAATACTAACGTTAGTATCAAGTGTAAACCGGTGGTAGATGCCACTGGGGATGACGATCATGTCGCCGGCGGTGACAGCGATACGAATCCATTGGTCCTGGCCATCACGCACGTCGAAGTATCCAGAACCAGCCAGTACAAACCTGGAACATTACAATTAATGATGTCAGAATAGTATTTGCCAAGTATATAGAAAGAAATAGTAAATTTATTACATATACATATATACATGACTACAAATAGCATTTAACAATACAATTTAAGTACTTATAATTTATAATATTGTTCTAGAATATGCTTGCTTTGTGCTCGTACCATAAGTTTATCTCTGCATCACCCAAAGGTTTGACTGGTAGAAAATATTCATTTAATTTGGAAAAGACTTAAGAAAACACTTTATTTCCTAAAAGGAATGAAAAGAGGCCATATCATTGATCTGGTTGCATTATAAGATAATTAAATTTCTTAAACATATGCTTGTGATTACCAGTATTCACTGGTTGTCAGAAACTTGCTGTTTCTTGTTGGCAAGAAATAATAAATAGCAAATAAAATAATTATTGGCAGTTTACTACTCTATAGATCATTTAAAAATTTTCTTTTCATCAATATTTCTAAATGGTAAACCTGAAAGAGTTTCAGGTCAATTATACAGCCAATAAGTAGGTATATATATACATATGTATGTATACTACTTACTTATTATTAAACTTTTTTTTCATAATAATATTTCATGCAGTTTACCTAATCTCCTCATCAGTGTGCAGGTGCTCAGTGAAGAAAGACTTGATTTTTTCCTCATAGTTGGGTAAACATTCTTTGGAGCAGGTCATCTCATCCTCATAGGTGTAACCTCGTTCCTGCTTCAACTTGTCCAGAACTCCATCAGTTGTGTATGTGTCCACATTCAGCTGGAATAATTAGAGATGCATCAATTAGGACTTAATATGACTAATCTCTACATAGTATAAAATAAAGTTGTTTTCGCTATTCTTATATCTCTATGTATGCTGTAATTTGCAAAACTTCACAACACATTTTAATTCTTTTTTTTAAAGAAATTTTGTATCAACAATATTAATATGCAAATCAGGGTGGGTGACTAGTTAGTTATGTAGATTAAATAGATGATGATTCTGTGAATAGATATTTATTTATTTAATAAATGGTGAATCAACAGCTACATTATACAATTTTAGCAGAAAAATAGTACCTAACATTGAGCCACTTACAGATTCACACAAATACACTTCTACTGATCTTGTCCTGACATATTTTAACAAAGTTCCCCATTAATGTCATTCAGCATAGGACCATTCATTTGGTATATAATTTAAAGTTTTAACCACACAAAGTTGTAGAAAGCTAATAATGTTTGTACTACTGATAAGTAATTTGGAATAAGGCACTTGTCCAATTTCAAATTTCTTGTTTAATTACTGACTAACCTTAGATAGTGATATAATGAAGCAGGCTTCTTGTCATTGCCTTTCACCACATGCTATTTGAGACAGATGTTGAAGGTTAAAGTATACACATTATACAGGGAGAAGAAGTATTTTAACAAGAGCCAGAGTTTATTTTATTATGTCACTTAGTGCAATAGTATCTTTCTCAAAACAATATTCATTCCATTTGAATATGAAATTATCTTCATAAGTAGGCATCAAGTAATTTGAAATAAATATATAAGTTATATTATACTAACATTATCCTAAAATATTTGGTAATAGTGTTATAACTTTTTATAATGAATGATGATGATTGGCAATTTTTAGACCAACCAGTGATAACTACCGTTATCTGTAAAATGTCTTCATTAATTAAGAAAAAAATTGATAACAAGCAATTAAACACGAGAACTACGCAAAAAGGAACTAACTTTAAAATATTCAACGCCGGTTTTCTTGTACAGATCTTCGAGAGAAATGAATTCGGGCGGGTTCTTGTGATGTTCCAAACGCTGATCAGTTTTCTCTTCATCCATGTACCACGCTTGCACCATTTTTAATGTTTATTTTTTTAATCAATGGTAAATAATCACAGCAACTTTTCGCTTATGCGAATTTATAATGACAAATAAGTAATGACATTACTATCATAACATTGACATTGACAACTACAAAAAAGTTAAAAGTTTTTTAAAAAGCAATACGGATACGTACGTGGCTTTTGGTAAGAGGAATCACCCAGAATCACCTGACACCATTAAGTTGGGTGATCAATCTGTAATGAATTCATACAGGACATCCTAGATTCGTGGAAGTTCTTTTATGAATTGTTGAAATAAATTTAAAACGTAAACTTAATTGTTGTTAGGTTTAAACTTATAATTGAGTTTTCATATCTATTATTACTGACACTGTTTGATATTCATGCTCATGCTCATGTTGCTAGATATTGTATATCAAGCGCATTGATATACTAATATCTGGCAACAGACATTCTTTTGCGTCAGGGCCGAAAGGGTTAAAAGGTTTTGCTTGCTTTGCTTTCAATTATATTATACAAAGAAAACCATTTACTTACCTCAGTTACTTAGCCTCAGAAACGAGGCTCCGATAATGGATCCCGGAAGCTTTATTGGCTACTAGTTTCCTCTGATTGAATTAAGGTTTATAGAGGTATTACTTATGTATACATATGTAAATTGTGTATCTTATGTGTTTAAAAATGTTTATTGCACACTCTATCGCATTAGGAATCTGTAGAGCTAAACGTTGATAAGAAATAATAAATAAATATTAAAATGTTTAATAATAAAAAAAAACTTAATAATTAAGATTCCATCTTAATTATTAAATGTTGAAGGTCCGACTGAACAGGTTTTAAGGTTGTTCATATTGCATTCCAAGAGACTTATTAACTTTTCATAAACTGACCAAGGAAAAAATATAGGTATATTTCAATTTTCAATAGGTGCAATAAAACAAATTATCGTACTTATTTCTTTCATTAAGTTGTGCGTTTACAAATATACAACGCCGGTTGCAAAGAATTTGCGGATCACTCTGTGATCTACTCTATTTGTCGCAAAAACGACGAGGGACTGGTGGATTCTTAGTACAATTTTTGACGTTTAGATCAAATGTACAACAGTACTCGGTCCACCGTATGACAGCCTGATAAATGCGTATTTGTCTATTTTTTTATCAAGCTATACTGCAGCAATGACAGCAAACAACAATATTCGTAATTGAGTGTGGGAGAGCCATGCTTCGGCACGAATGGGTCGGCTCGACCGGAGTGATACCACGGCCTCACAGAATACGGGCGTGAAACAACCCACAGCGTTGTGTTTCGCCGTGTGAGTGAGGTTACGGAGGCCCAATCCCTCCCCTTCCCCTATCCCTTCTTAATCCTTATAACCGCAACCCCCATCCCCAAAGGCCGGCAACGCACTCGTAACTCCTTTGGTGTTGCGGGTATCCATGGGCGGCGCCGATTGCTTACCATCAGGTAATCCGTCTGTTCGTTCGCCGACTTAGGTATACCATAAAAAAATAGAGTCTAGACCCTCAGGACGCCTGTTTAAAGAAATGTAAAGTAGTGTAAGGCGCAATAAAAGACATTATTCCAAGTAAAAATATATTTAATGATACTAAATTATTACTATAGTTATTTTGGCTTATAAACCAATTACACATTATTGTAAACTACATAAATTGGGGGTTCTTAAGTTTCTTTCTACTGACAATAATCTCCTAGCACCTTGTACTGGGAACTTTCACATTTAAACGAAACATATTTTATCTATGGCAACTATAATAAGTACAGGTTACTGTGGGGTAGTTTCAAAAACTATTATCTCACAACTCATCGGTATTAATTAAACAAATTAAAGTACATTCATGTTATTCTTACAAGAAAAGATGGTAGTCTCGTTTATACGTAAACATACATATTTATTTACCACTTGCCTCTAGTACTCGATTCTACACGAATTAAGCTCAACTTTCTCGATTTTTTATTAAGTATTCAAAAACATCGAAATTGCCAGACTAAATAATGTTACACGCTTAAATATTTCACACAGTGTTAATGATTACACATACAAGTTAATATATTCACAGATAACATTTTGATATGACTGATAAAATGACAAATAAATACGCTAATGAGTGATATAGGTATAAATATAGACTTTTTGATCAATTTAAAAAGTTTACAGAAAACAAAATCTCAATCAATGGACGGATCTAGAATCACAATAAAAATATACATTAAACAAACATTAAATTAAAAACATTGTAATTGATTAAGGAAAACGTCAACAAATAATTCAGGAATTAAATTTAAATAGTCAATTATTCCAATTAAAAATTTAAAATATATATATATATAAATATAGATTAATAAAATAAAATATGACTGACATTTTTAAGTATGAATTTGCGAAGAATGCGATGCATTTAAATACATAGGTACGCTGTTAATATACATTATAATAATAAAAGTAAATTGGAAACATTAAAGCTATCACACACACAGATATTTCATGCTTATTCAAAAATGATATATTGAGATCACATCCTTATGTCTAAAGCTTCCCATTGATCCTAAGACTACGAAATCACATCTCGATTTTTGTAATAAGAATGTTGACTTTCTTGAATTGTCTTAGCATGAATGGGGCTTATGAACTATGTTACATGAATATTGATGGTGGAACTTTATTTGGAAAAATGTTAAAGAATAGTAATCTTCAATCTTATAACCTACAAGTTTAGTCCGAAACACTTTTTTAATAACCTTCCTCATAATACATACAAACACTAATAAAAAACAAACTGTAAAATCAATTTACAATGTATCTTTTATAGATTTAATGTTACTGTTGGGAAGTGTTTTAAAACAGTGTTTTGTTTAAGCTTCACACAAAGGGAATATTACAAAAATATCAAATTTACACGTAGTTACACGTACGATCTACTGGGACACAATGGATCGATACTAAGGTGGCACAAGACTCGATCAAAAAATATCGCGACAAGAATATTACAATATTCTTTGCGTCATTTTTGTCGTAGCTTCTGTACCATTCTTTATGCAGATGTGTTTAACATTTGGTATATTTTGGTAGTTGGGGCCGTTTTCATATATCTTAAAATAATATTAAAATTTTCAAATAATATTAAAATGGCCAATAGCGAAATAAAAATACATTTTAATTTGGGATTTAGTCGTGAGGGCCATGTATAAATATACAAATATTAAACACAATCGCTCACGTACCTAAACAAAACAAAAAACTAACGAAAATTATCACAACAATTATTATGTATTTACAATTTCACGACAAACCATAAAGGTAATATATTAAAATCTAATATAAATTAGAAACTACACATAGGTATGTATTTATTAAAAATATTAATTACTCTATCTTATTTAAGATTGCATCGTATTATATTAATTAAAATTTACGTTTAGTAAAATGTAGAAAAATGTCGTCATTGCTTATTAATTCCAAGTTTTTAGTTCTGCATCAACAGTTCATATAGTGAAATAAATATATTTGTCATTTGTCAAAAAATCCATAATTGATATAATTCTCCCTTTGAGTGGGATATTAATAAAGCTTTTCTCAACAATGAATCTAGATTTTTGGCAGATTTCTTAGAAACCTAAGCCCTAAATCTAGGTTACTTCAAGAGAGCATTTACTTCTAAATGTTTTCTCGAAATAACTTTTTCATTGATTTTATCCATTAGGAGAATAAGAAGAACTTTTTTCAAATATTTCAAGAAATAAAATTTCAGCTAAACATATTTCTGTCTGTTATACAGAGTTAATGGAGACGAAATTGATATTTTTTATGTCAATTTTATTTCCTCTGTGGAATACCGTTATTTGTTCACTAGATGTCGCTAATCTGTCAAGAGGTTACGTTGTCCAATCAATGTAGCAGTCAAGAATTGAACGACCAATGATGTGACTACCTATTTTCCTAGTGGACACCACGACACTAGCGCCATCTGACGAGCAAGAAAACGTTAACTCCATTGATCAATCTGAACTGCTGATGCTACCGGCTTTGGTCGATTTAAATAATGCTATATAATGTCAATATTTTTAACTTTGCCACCACAAGGAGTTTCTCTCACATTAAAGATTCTGATAGGCAGGCATTATACCTATTTTTAATGAGGTCAAGGAGAGTTTATATCTAAAATTTTTGTCCTTCTCAAGTCGGGGTTTTCATTGAAGTATAATGAATAAATTCATTGCTAGGCCTTTATGAGTTTTGAAAACCTTTTGTAAATAAGTCTGTATATTTTTGCAACCGTTTCCGAAATCCATGTCATTTAACGTACCTACTAAGAGTTTATAACTCCGAAATAAAATCAGAACAGCTAAAAAGTTAGAACTAAAATCATTAAAAAAAAAAACGTTACAATTCATTAAAATAATCACAGAAAAAATTGAATATCGAATTATTTGATCAACTTTCACAAAGGCAGAAATGTCATACAAGTTCTTAATTTAAAAAGCAAAAATCTAATCAGACAGCATCAAGTTGACATTTAGTCTTGTTTTATCTAATCTGTCTCAATTTTAGACGTATGTTAGATTTTAGATAGTAGTCATTTACTTAGATATCTTTGACAAAACAGCTCTAGTTGGCCTGTGTCGTCATAATATCCTCATTACAATCATAGTCATCTTCAATTCCCAGTTATGATAGAAAATAGTTTGGTCCGTCATCTTGCTTGAGTGACGTCTTTACGTGTGACGCGTTCAGAGTTTGGTGTGCTTGACGGTGTCCGTCCAGTAGTTCTGTATGGTCATCGCCTCCAAAGAGTTTAGGAACGAGTCGTTGTCTAGGCTGTACATCTCTTCGGAGTTGTCCTGAAAAAAAAACACGAAGTTATGTTAGAAAAGCAATAAAGTGGCGCTAGTAGAAATCACAAAAATACTAGATACTTATTCTAAAAACAATTGGGTAGTTTCCTAGGTCAAAAATAAATTAATTCGACGTTTTAATACGATAAAATATTGAAAAATAACTATACTTTTATTCATCGATCGATTGATACACTAAGTTTTAGATATTTTATAGCTAATTTTTTAAAAATAAGTAAGCTATTTGACGCAAAAATGCTATGACGTCATAATTCAATGTTTCATACAATTTTCATAAAAAAGTATCGTTTTTGACATTTGGATAAAAGTATTGAATTTGACTAGTTGGAAACAACCGTATTGATTATTATTAATGGTTTACTTGTAATACTTACTCTTATCGTACTGTCATCCAAATAGCCGCTCGAATCAGGGTTCGAGCACTTGTCATTCAGGGTCTGCGGCTTGTTCAGGTACCTTCGCCGGTACAGCACAAACGCCGTGCTTCCAGCCAAGGCCGCAAGGACTAGCGCAGCAAACGATATTCCAGCTATGGCTCCCGTATCCATACCTCCGTCACTTTGGTCTATCACCCTTCTAGAAGACTCTACGTTCGGTGGTATCCGAGTCTGCAGGAAAGTAGTCTCTAATGACAAGGGCTTTTCTGTCACGATTCTACTCTCCGCCACGTTTCCACCGCCGTCTTTTACAAAATCTGGTCTAGTCAGATTCCTCTTTTTAGACGCAAACGTTGTATTCTGTGTATCCGTCAAATTCGTGAACGGAGCCACCGTAGCGGTGCTAGTGTTTACACTTGGAGTTTGCGTACTGTTTGATGACATGTCAGTGATATTGACTACTGTCCATTGTATAGCTGGATGGGGCACTTCTTCTGTTTTATTAGTGTCTGTTGTATTCGTAACTGGTAATTCTGGTGGTTTATCTGTATGATTGTCTGTTATGTTGGAGGTCTGTGTGGTGACTTGGGTTTTTGTGTAGTACATGGCTCGACTCTGTCGTTCAGAGAGCCGTCGGTCCAGCTCGGCTTCAGCGCTGATGTGTTGGAGCTCCTCTGACTGGGGCGCCGCGGAGCTCAGCCCGCTGTTCGCTGGAATAGATAATAAGTAAATTAGTCATTGGATTCAACAAGAATTTTACGTGTTAATATTTACATATGACATATTGCGAAATCAATAGATAATACACGAGCCCGAGTTAGTAAATTCAGATTACGTGAGTCACCATATGTATCGGTTATAATAAAACTGATGAAATCATTACAATTATTTGATCATAAACAAATGATGGAGTGTGAAATAGGCAGGAAGAGCGGGGCCCTTGATCTAGTTTTGCGCTGCTCGAAATTGTTGTAGAAAACGCTAGAGATTTAGCTACAACGGTCGTTGGCGTAAAAAAGGAATATTCTAGCAGGCACGGCTGGAATTAATGAAGCTAGCCAGCTGGGTATTTGCATAAACGGAGGCACTGTAGTCACCGGCTAAGTAAACACCGTTGATCAAACTGAAATATTTTACACACAGAATTTTAACAAGGCTACTTTGTAGCGACTAGTAGACAACTATTTTTTAGTTCCGTTATTGCCTCATTACATGAATCATTGTTATATTGTATGAAACGTGACATAAGTTGTTTTATTGCAATCTTTTAATTAGAAGATTATAAATATGAGTAATGGATAATAATCTTATTAATATGTGGGAATGGGATGTTTAAAAAACGTCCAAACTACATGAGGATTTCACTTCACATTTCTGAAGTATGGTAATTTAAGTTGAATTTACTTGTACATAAAGCAAACCAAAAATAAATAGAAAAGAAAATAAGTAACTAAAAAGTATGTGACTACTACCATTACAGTAAACTTGGTTAAAATAATTGCATTCAGAGAATAGTTACACACAGTTGGTTAAAAACGTTCAGACGGAATGTGAACATTTCTGTTCAACTCTCAAAATTTCCTACGTCATAATGTGGCTCTGAATAACACATAATAAACTCCAGTCAAGTATAAAAAAATAATTTTAAAACGTTTCTATACAGGTTGTGCATAATACTTTTGGAAATTCGAAAATTTTAATCATGAGAACATATGGTATCGTTCAATTTTTTCACAGAATCGACCAAGCCTCCAAGTCATCTGCTAAATGCAGTGCAGTGTAGGTATTACGTCCCAAAAGGAGGTCTTTGTTCAGTACACAGTAGACTTCGACAATCATGACCCGATGATTGTATCCAAAATTTGACGTCGCATCGTATCGGCAAATGATAAAAATCGTCGCAAAATAGACATTGTGTTTGAATATCGTTTCGCTATTCTATCGTCGCATATTTTATGGCTCCATCGAGATTCGGTTCCATCCAACTGAGTGTTGAATTCGATTAGGATGGCACTGCCTCCCATGTGACCTGCCCGTCAGAAAGGTAAAATTGACGACTTCTCAACTAAATCTATCAATATGGAAACGATTTTCTTTTTTAGGATTTCTATTGTCGGAAATGGGTGGAGATTTTATGTGCTACAATTTTATTCCTTGTTCGTACTTTTAAAACGTTTAAGTGGAATGAATGAATTACGAATAATGTAAGCTTAGGTTCAGTTACATAATGTAGAATACTTGTTTTCTTTTCCTTCTTTTCTTTATCTACAAGTCTTCAACATAAGAGACAAAAAAGCGATAAATAAATTATAAACATCTTCCCTACGGGAAGATATAGTATCACAATCTACACCTACATCTATATATCTATACTAATATTATAAAGAGGTAAAATTTTTAAGTTTGTATGTAGAACCTTTGGAACCGCTGGTCGACTTTCCAAAATTCTTTGACTGATAGATAGCTACAATGTTCCTGAATGCTATAGGCTATAAAACATCACGCTACGATCAAATGGAGCCGAGCAGCGGGTAAAACCGCGCGAGAGTAGCTAGTTATTTATATACAGCTTGTTTATCAGCATTTAGCACCCAAGCAAACACACGCCAACATGAAGCAGTCACGCCGTCTAGGAGGCCTTACTACACATCCAAACGATATTCATAAATGTCATATTATAAACATGAAATGAAATTTCCTCGCGAATGCGGAAATTTAAACGTCAACCCCTGTTAATCCAGTGACGTGTGTATCTCTCGTGCTTAATGCAATCAATCTCCGAAACTTCGCAAATACTTGTATACCTTCATTATATTTGCTAAATCAACATTTATTAGTTCCTTTACTAGTGTATAATTAGTACCTACATATTTTTAAGCTAATTACTAATTCTCTCTTTATAAGCTATAGACGGTAAGCCTATTGCCATGCATCGGGCACGTTTATGATTTTTTCTTTTTTTATAAAAACTTTGCCTCACACTTGGATTTTCTCCTGTGTCGTGGGTGCGTTTAATGGTGCGTAGTGATTTTTTTTTTTCAAATTTTATCGTGTTTAGACCATTCAAGCAACGAAGGAAAAAGAAAACATTTATGGAATTGACATTCAAAAATTTAGGTTAATGCACAGTCCTAAAGTTTGTAAATAGGTTTTAAGTACTTATTGTGAAAAAGAGAAACAATATGAAAATAGCACACTGGAAAAGGACAAAAGATTCGTTTCTGTGGTTTAAAGCATGGCATTTGGCTTGAAATGTCAGGCATTTGGTACCACGTCACCTCTTTTAAAAAGGTGCCTCGTAAAGTGTCTCCGCTAATTCGGATATTTGTCCTATTCTTTTTTCAAAATTCTATTATTTTTTTAAAATAATTGAATAAAATAGAATTTATTTATTTTTGAGATACAGTATACAGTATACAATATGTATATTAAATTTCTAACAACTAAGGGACAATTTTACTTATTCAGTAAGTTTTCATTAACACTGCTTATTAGGCATATTTAAAAATAAGAGGAATACATTCTACCCGATTATTATCAGTTACTACTAACTTGTAACTAAATGACTTCTGTTTAACGAGCCCTAGGCATATCGATTTAGTCCAATATTGAAAAGGTTGACATGAGGACGTTAAAAATTACAGTCAGTACCTTTTTGTGGCGTTTGTTGCCTGTCCTCCATAAACAATTCAGTTGGATTTTGCAACGAAGTTGAAGAATAAGGAGGTTGTAATAGGATGACATTTCATAGAGGAGGATGGAGCAATAAGAAATTTCGCCGTCGTGTAGCTTAGAATAATGACAGATAAGAGAAAAAGATTAATTGTTGGAATCAATGATTTTGACTTTGACTTTTTTGTCTGATTTTTAGGGGTTTTGGTCATCTGTATCAGTCCATATAAACGTTTATGGTTGTGGTTGTGATCTTACGTATTTTATAACAAATTCACTGGTATGTATTAAAGTCACACAATTATTATTGATTAAGCGGTCGCATGCAAGACACGTTATTGAGTCCGAGTATTTGATCCTTATTTTTAGACAAAGAAAGGTATTAATGGAATTTATTTCAATCTTGTTCTTAGTATAAGTGGCTTTATGGTGTAGGCAGAGCAGAGTACATTATTCACCATCCCTCTTTCCGTCATAAGAGACAACGAAGACACAGACTTGTCAGAGACTGAGCAGCGTAACGTATATTACTTACGTCATAAAATGAACAATAAATTTTCTAAAAATTATCTTTGGTGTTTATCATGGTTATTACCCATCCACTGTTGGGCATAGAGTTCTAAAACTCGCCACTGAGCTCAACCATATTTTTCTACACCGTTGATGGGCTTAACCACTACTATCGCGAAATAGGAGTGAGACCTCGTGCCTTTTTTTGAAGCTACCCAGGTCACACGGGGTCGAGGACGTTGTTTCATCGAAAATGCGCAAAAAAGCTTCAGTTCGACACCGTTCAATTTATACAGCTTGTTTTTCAGTCGTGGAAAATAATGAGAGTGAGTATATTTGTTGATAAAATAGGGTCTAGGAATTCTCGGAACATTATTTCGAAGGGTCTCTTTAGATAACTTGCTCTCGACAACATTAGGGACTTCGGAGAGATTCAAAGTTGAGCAAATTGTATTATAGTTGTTGGGCGGGGCTGTTCCGTGTCCTGATTCGAGGAAAAGCGTTCCAAAAACTGTTTCAACTTCTGTTCGAATTATACAGAAATAATGTTTTGATTCTTTGATTGCATAGGGTTTATTTGTGTATTTTTTAAGTCTCGTAAACTTATGAATATTGAAAATAAATAACAACCTTTTTACCTATTAGCTTAGCTTAACAAGACTGACAACATAATGTCGTTTTACTATTCTCACTACCCATCCTCGGACATCATTGCTTTGGCGGAGTAATATAAGGGCTGTATAGTAGATTGTAACTAGAACTATTTAAGTGACACTACGAGTAAAACATATTTATAACAGAACGATTTATTACAGAAAAAACCTTACAAATAATATAGACAAATAATAAAATAAATACGAGTACGTTTAACTACACGCAGTATTGTATTTTGTCAAGATTACTTTTGTAGTGTGCCAGCCCTATTGTCGTAAATAAGTTACACATTCTTTTGTGATTTGTTGGGATCCTTTGATAAACACAACGCAACTCGTAATCTAATAAATTTGGTGAAAGGTAAATGTATGTCGCAGACTTCGGGATTTATTTATTTATACATAAGTATTGACGCGACAAAGTTAACTACTGCCATTTGTTATACTATTCTAACTCACAGAGCCTTTGTAAATAAATGATGAGAATAGAAGTATATTGAATTAAAGATAAAAGTTTCCTTTTATCTATGTGTATAGAGTCTATTATTCTAGGCTTTTTAGATAGACTACACAGTTCTATGTATACGTATATGTATAAAAAGGACTAGCTTATCGTGTGGTTGAACATATTCTGTTTTCGAATGAAAAAGAGCGACTGTAAATTTAATTTTTAGGTTCAACCTGGGTAATAATTTTTTAACAAAACCTTTATACAAAACAAACTCATAAACTTTGTTAGTGTTTGTCAAATACATAGAGTATATTGTATTTACTATACTGTAACAGTTGATGTCGAGTACATGTTTGCCCGGAGCGCGGAGGGTCCCGCAAATTGGCCCGGACGCAATTATGACAAAGTTTGAACTAAACGGGCC